ACAACCTCTATTAAGAGGACACTTCTATTAAGAGACCACATCTCCATTTCTTAGCCCCAACAAAACAGCCTATGTGACGCTCATGGGTGCAGATCATTGTGGGGGGGGGGGGGCGGGGAACACGTACCCCTTATATTTTTAAGGGGGTTGGTCCCCCACACTTTTCGGTCGCAGTGTGATTTCATAAGTCAAAAAATGCCTGAAAATTGTTAAAATGAACTGCATAAATGCAGCCAGAATACATCTTCTTATAGCAAGATAGCGGTATCTCTGCCCACAAAGTATGTAAAGTAAATATATCAAAGACAATGTTTAAAAGTGTTATTCAATGGTACATTACACAGATTATTTAGATCTCTATGACTGCCGAAAAGCACTGATAAAAGATCATGAGAAAGTTGTTGGCACTTCATTTTGACTATAATATAATGGTGATGTGATGATAATCAATTTTCTATATGAGAGTGTTATTTCCGGCCATCTAGTTCTAGAGCTACAATTTACCCAAATTTTCTCCTCTCAGCCACCACCATGGTGTGGGACTAAGATGGGTGTGGACTCACGGCTTAAAGTAGGTAAAGTAAATACATAAAAGACAATGTTTTCTTTTCTATGGTACATCAATTAGATTATTTAGATCTCTTTTGATTGCCGAAAATACTTGGTAAAAGGCCATGGTGAGAAATTTGTTGGCGCTTCATTTTGACTATTAATGGCGATGTGATGATGAATTTTACTATTATAAGAATGTCATTTTCGGCCATCTAGAGGTACTATTTTTACAAATTTGTGCACCTCAGCCCCAAATATGTTGGGGCTGAGAGTAATCTGGACTCACGGTTTGAAGTAGGTAAAGTAAAGTAAATGCATTCAAGACAATGTTTTAATGTTAATTTACTATCCTGTACATTACACATTAATTAGATCTCTCATGGTTGCTGCTGAAAATCGCTGATTACAGGTCATGAGAAATTTGTGGGTGCTTCATTTTTACTATAAGTGTGATGTTATGCTAATTAATTTTACTATATAAGAGTGTCATTTCCAGTCATCTAGAGAATACTACCGTATTTCCTCAAAGTTTCGCACCTCAGCCTCAACTATGGTGGGGCTGAGGTGAATGTGTTCTTATACGGACTCCCCACCTTTCAAAACAGATCTGCGCCCTTGGTGACGCTGTGCTAAAAGGGTACTCTGTTAAATAGGCCTATATATGTTTTCAAATGGAGAAAAAGATCAATGAGTTCGTCACTCGTATAAAGTAATCATCTGCATACTGCACGCAACTGGAATTGGACCTTTGGAACGCGTCATCCTCGATCTGTTCAAATGTCCATATTTCAGAAGGGAATGGCATGACTTTGCAAGAACGTTGTGCGTATACGAACCGGATTCTACAACAGTTTAATTAACAAGAACCTGAACTCAAATACTGTAGATCAAGTTATTAGCACAGAAATAATGTTGTTTATTTAGCTATATTGGATAGATATAAATATATTATCTCTGTAGGTCATGACAACACTATAGATCGGGTGAAAATGGAGCGATGATATTTCACTGCAATCAATCAACAATCAACCAATTAATTAATATTTATGGGGCACTATTGTTATAACTGGAACTCAGTGTACAAATATATAATATGGACCAAATACATTAATATATCATTAATCGCGCATCGTATTCTCACAGGTGAGAGAACCCTATAGCAAACACAAACGTTATAAATATAACGTTTGGCAAGGGGTGTAATGTTCTGGTTCTCTGTCACTTTTACTTCAATTACTAATTGTTATGCAATAATCATTTTAGAAATAAAACAAAAGTGACTCTAAACTGAGAAAGTGGGGCCATATTTATTACTCAACGTTTTGACTTTATAAGTAATCATCAGGAATGAAGCATTTTAGAGTTCAGAAATATTGATAAGAGTTTGTTGTTACCATGGACCTATTAATAAGATTAATCTTATTAATAGGTCCATGTTGTTACGTTACATTTTCTTGGCTCCTCCTACTTTAAAATGCGCATGTGCAAATTAATCCAAAAATTAGCTCCATGGCTACTCTTGCGACTTCATAAACTCATTAAAGATAATATTAATTTATAGGAGCTTTAATTAAATTTATGGCCATTGTGATCACGTATCGTGATATGCCTATATAGTTTAAATTCCCAATTATATTTATCAGCAGCTTGTAGGTTTCATATTGTAAAAAATCCATCTATGGGTTTAGAAAAAAAAAAACAAAATGTTTATTGTTTAACTGGATTTATTTAGGAGAATAAACGCTTTGCTTAAAGGCTACGTTCGAAAGTCTGATGCAGATTTAGAATTACAGCAACACCTGCATCCCAATACTTTGATACAGTTACAAATCGATAAACTGCTATTAATAATTCTAGTCAATATTCCATCAAATCTAGGAGAAGACACAATTTGAGAAAACAATCTAATCAATCTTTGCGGGGACACGTAAACAGGCTTCTGTCGTAAGGACTGTCCTTCCAGTAATCGCATTGATCAAATTGAGATTTTGTCTCCTAAGAGTTACTTTAGGGGTGGATTATTATAATTTGACGTATAAAAAAAAGTAAATTTTGGCCTATTAGTAAGGTTTATACCTTAAACTAAATGTTCGACTTGCTCAATGCCTTTCCACTCCATCACAATATAAGCAGCACTGAACAACGGCGACTACGACGACGATGATGCTGATTTTGATGCTCAAATTGTTGTTGGTTGTGATGAGGATGATAATATAATAATATTGATAATAATTATAATATTATATACGATAAGATTGATGAGGATGAACATTATTATCATTAATTACTATTATTATTAATATTCATTAGATATAAAATAAGCTTAGTGTTTAGCAGATAGTTACTCTTACTTGATAATGATAGTTGAACCATCGAAATTTGTTGTGGTTGAAACTTTTATATTATTAAATGCATTGCTGCATTTGTAGTGTTTTATTACAATTATTATTATTATTATTATTATTATTATTATTATTATTATTATTGTTATTATTTTTATTATTATTATTACGATTATTATTATTATTAATATTATTATTATTATTATTATTATTATTATTATTATTATTATTAAATCGCAGTGTGTTCTAAAAAGACGACAGGAAAAAGGCCACTAAATCATGCCATTTTGGGGACGATCAAAATTCGGGTGTGCACTAGTTATTATTATTAACTTGAGGCATTATTTTGGGGAATTAAATTAAACAATAACTGCGTATCTATTAGCCTTTCATTAAAAAAATTTTGTGCATATTATGATTTAACAACTATGTCTATTATAAAAGCTAATAAACTATCTTAATAAGCAGTTAACCTTTACTATCGAATCGAAGCCCCCTTCAATGTGTTTGTTGTTCCTGTCTACATTGCTGGGCTGTTTCCACCCACTCGCACTTAATACGTTATAGATCATGGTGTGATCATTAAGTGAATAACAATATTGCGCTGACGTCATTATTAATTTCACGCCCGCATTTACTTTCGATACTTTAGTGATTTTAATCATTGACTCCAACCAAACATGATACCGTATTTATTATTGAAACAGGTGAATATACATTTAAAGTAAAAGCATATTTTGATGTGTTGATATTTAAAAGAAAATGTCCATATTCCTAAGCCAGGTCTATTATAAGCGACCAAATATAGTATGGAATGCAGATTTTCAAAATTAATTTTCTCATAATTGCGTGCAGTTCACTGTTTGTTGATCTAATGATTGTAGGTGTTGGCGCTTGAATAATAATTCGTGATAATTTGTTGATAGTTTCAATTGCATTATTTTTGTTAATACATCATATCAGAAATACTAGATCAATATTATATAATAATCTTGTTTATATTTACCTCCTTCATCTTAATATCTCTTGCAAATTTTGTAGTGAAACATAGGTATATTTTTGTGTTGTTCTTTCTATTCTTCTAAATTGGAACAGACCGGCTTGTGAGCCAAAGTTACTTTTTTTAACTGTTGTCATTTCCTGCCATTGATTTGTATATTGTTTCAAAATAAATAAATAAAATGATTCGGCCACTGTCAACAGTCTTGTTGCCTGCTTACTTTTTATTATAAACAGTTTCGGCGACTATAACAGGGGCAGATCCAGGAATGTTCGAAAAGGGTGGGGGTGGTGGAGGAGGAAACCAAAGTGGGGCCGATCGAAACAACACTACCCTAGGGGGAGTTGGGGCATGCTCCCAGCCCCCGAAATTTTTTGTTTTAGTCTAGACGCCCGAAAATAGCATTTGAGGCGTTTGGGCGACCAATTATTTCTTTTTCTTCTGTTTGTTCCTTCTTTTTTTTTTTCTTTTTTTTTTAACATTCCAAAAGGTGGGGCCGCGGCCGGTGCGGCCCTGAAGTTGGCATCATTTGAATCAGAAATATTATGATTAATATTGATTCGGCTACTGACAGCTGTCACAGTGGTGGATCCAGGAATTCAAAATAGAGGGGGCCCGGGGAGGTACTTATACCACCTCAGCCCGCCAGTCGAATTTAGATTATGCCGCCTCCAGATGACTGGAAACACTCTCAGATTTAAAATTTGAATATAATTTTCTTTATATAGCCATTAAAAAATATAATTCAACAATTTAGGGGGGACCGGGCAGGCTGCCCCCCCCCCCACCTCCACATAGTTTTTGCATCCCATCTTCCATTTTGTTTGTCCGATTTTGTTTAAAAGGTATGAAATTCCTAGCACCCCACTCCCGCTACCGTAAATCCCGATTACAATTATATTCGTTTGCTACAGCCTAACATATTTTCCTCAAGTTTTCAAACCAGATATATAATATATATGTTTATTGTCTACCTATCAGCCCCACCCCTACGCACCATCTTCCTCTGTTATTAGAATGTATTAGGTATAGAAAAAACGTATATCCCATCGGGATTGAACCAATCCCGATGGGATTTTGCGAGATTGTTTATTCGTTTCGGGCCGTCGATACCTTGTTTTACACTAATTACGTTCCCACGGAGAATACCAACGCTAAAATTTTGTCATCTTTGGATTTAACAAAACAAAACAATTGTTTACTGCTCTTATGGGTTACTGGTAAGTATTAGCCATAACAAATATATGCCTACTAATAAGCTTCTCCTCTTTTCTATGATTATATACATTTTTATAATAACGTGGCTTTAGGTTATCCTAGCTAGCGTCTGGTTTTGAATCTGCCAAGCCAACACCCGCTAGACTTTCTTAGGCCCTAATCTGCCGACAGGATTCTCCTAGCATAGGCCTGGCCTACGTGGCCGGGCCGCCATAGCCTAGGTATGGCCTAGAGACTTGGGCTTTGGGAGAGCCAAGGCTTGGCCTAGCCTATGTTATGCTAGTCAGACTTGAGAGGATAGTCCTAGCCAAAGCTCTTGAAGTTTTAAGAGGCCAACCAAGGAAACAATTCTCTACTTATTATTACTACTAACTAAACCTGGAATTTACATTGTTAATAACGTTATTTTAATATTTAAATGCTTACTTTTTATTGTAAACAGTTTTAGCGACTTGGCATCATGTGAAAACCGATGAAGTTATCAACACAATTATTTTATGTTAACCAATTTTATTCATGAAAAAATGAATCTATGACATTTACCATTACAATAAACTTACAAATGTATATAAAATCAATAGGGCCCAGACCTACACTTAGTCTGTGCTATCCTGATGATTTGTGAGTACCAGGTGTATTCCATATAAAGGCCCTGTCACATAGTAGCGAATAGACCTAACGTATGCCGAGCATTCTCATTTTTTTCCCCAAGTCCTGATACGCTCAAATACGCTCAATTTTTTTTGGCAAAAAAATAGCATTTTTACATGAAAGACAACACCCAACGAATGAGAAACGAATGCTCATCGTACAACCATGGTACAACTAGCGTCCATTTAACGAATGACAGCGTGTTCGCAGCGTTCAGCCAACGAATGTTCAGCGTACACACCGAATGCCCAGCGGATGTCACACGTAAGCCTAACGTATTGACGCCTTATAAACGTTGATGTGGGTCGGTATACGCTGAGTGTTCGCTGGCCATTCGTTACTCATTAGTTAGACAAACGCAAATACGTTATGCATTTACTATGGCAAAGTTTCAGATGGGATTGAACGTGTTTGGACAAACAACGGACGAACAGAAAACGTAAACCCAACGTGCACCCAACGTGCGAAACATTCAAACAACAAATGCTCACCGTATACATAGCGTATGTAGCAGAACGTTGTCATACATTCAAAATTTTGAACATGCCAGAAATTAAAATCTACCTCAGCGTACCCCAACAAACAGCTAATGAATACAACGTATGCCAAATGTATCACGAACGAATGTCAACTTACGCGAACGTAAACCAATATTTTGATAAACGTTGGTTCTACACGCCACAGTGTGACAGGGGCTTTAAGTAGGCCTAGTTCCCATCTCTGAATGAGTGCTTTCAACACTATTTTTTATTTTTAATGTTATTGTGCAGTAAGTGAACCTGTTTCATAATGGAATCAGAAAGTGAGACGTTGCGTCTACAGTTCCAAGCTCTACAGGAGCAACAACAGAAGAAGATGCAGCGACGGTTGCAGAGACAAGAAGAGAAGAAAAAGAAGAAGAAAGAGGACGCTGCTGAAGGCAATGCAAAGCCAGTTGGCCTTGACATTGGCGATGACCTTGGTCTTTCAGTAAGCATAAGAATCAGAATTTTAATAAAAATTAGTTAATTTTAATTATTAAAATGTTAAAATTTGTATTCTGACATTTATTTTCTCAATGCTTGTACCATAAATGGCTAAATAAGCACAAAAGTGTTTTTTAAACTTTTTTTTAACTTTATCGTATTCGAGAGTGGCATATTACAAATTTATTATTCAAAAGCGGCATTTAGGATTCAATATTTTTATTACAAGGTCATTATCTACTTTTAATAGGGTCGACTAATTAATGTACATGTGCAGGTGTTTTTAACATAATATTAATACAATGTCGTGTGATGACATACCTTCTTTGTGCAAATAATGGTTTTTCTTTTTAAATAATAAAAATGTTCAACAGAGCTTTTGAGGAATGCAGGTGCTGTAACCAAATATAGCATTTACATTCTCATGGCCTAAGGAGTGTTAGCTAAAAGATGTACTGTACTGTATTTAAA